ATGTAAATCGAGTACTCGATACGGAACGTAAAATGATATTTTAATCTTTTAATTATCTTATATTGTGATTGACGGCCAATTTTAATATATTTTTAATACTATTTAAATAAATCACAATATGACGCACCTACAATATCTTAGTATACATTTTCCACATTTTATTCATTTTGACACCATAATGTCATGAGTCCCATGCCGACAGTGTGTGCTGTTTCAGGGGGATTCAAAGGATCCAGTGAAACCATGGGAAAGGCCATGGACTACAGATGAGATGAGGCAGCAGAGTGCCAGCTGGAACTTGGCTGGAGATTCAGGTCTGCTAAGGCACCTCCAGCAGTTTTCTCAGGTTGGAAATGTTCCTATGAAAGGTTTAAAGAAAAATATGCCTGATGTTTTGGAAGAGCTTACTGCTTCCATCATTAGGTTTGCAATGGTGCAACATCCCAGAAGACAGCCATCTTCATCGTATTGAAAGTCGTGTTGTTGCAAATGTGTGTTCGATTATAGCTTACGTTCTATATTAATGACTTCAATATTAACTTCACAGCAGTCATGTAAACACATTTTTGAATTTTTTATCCTTTCCCATTGGTTTACTCAAAGTCAGTGGGCTTACTATGGTTACTGAAGTAACCATAGTACATTGGCTGCAGCAAAAATTCAAAACTTGGATGCTATTATGAATACAGGTGTGGGGGGGGAGTAAAGCCCGTGAAGCGATAGAACGCACGGAGAGAGAAGCCAGTCCTTCCTTGTATATTATTGAATGTGACATTTTTTTTTTTGGCTGTAGAAGTAGTTTGTGCATGTTAAGGCATGTTTCTGCAATGCTACTGTTTAAAATTTTCTTCAGTTTACAAAATACAATGCAGTGTAACAGGAAGTGTATCAAAATGCTACCAGTTTTGACAGAATTAAAAGGGAAACAAGTTTTCATTTATAATATGCATAGATGGGTGTCTTCTGGGTTTTAGTGATGTATATTTTTGTATAAGTCCACTAACATTTTAGAGGTCCTTGCTGCCTCCATTATCAGGGCAGTGAGGCTACAGAGACGGTCATATTCTTATTCACTGCAGTTAGAACCTGAAATCCTTCTTGCAAATGTTCGAACAGACTCTTTGTCGGCTTCCCCTGGCTCTTTCCATCTTCCCTTCCCCTGTTTCAGAGACTTAGGTGAAGCTGACAGTTATTTTTGTGTCCACTGTAACCAAGATAGCAGGGGATTCCCCATCAGTCACTTCTACATGCAAAGAGATGTATGTTGATCTTCATGTAAACTGCACATTATTGTTGTCTTACCAAAATTGGAATGTGTTGACAAATTTTTGTAAAAAACTCATGTTATGTATCAATTTTCATTAAAGTTTATTGTGTGGAAATGTGGAATTTAAACCTCCTTTCTCTGAGGCTACCAGCTGGACTTTAACTGTGTATTTAACTGTTTGGAATTACGCTGTGCATGTTCAGTAAAGGTTAAATTACATTCAGCCATTGTTTAGTTATTATATGTGGAAGGACAGGGTGAAGCTATTTGGCAATTTTTGGATTGTCTAGTTGCAAATATACGAGGCGCGTCCTCAAAGTAAGTTTCCCTGGGGCCGTTTACAGAAACAAAACACAATTTCATGGAAATATTTATTGCAACAGATACAGCAAGTGTCCAGCTATTTTTCAACATATTCGCCACCGGAATTGAGACATTTGTCATACCGTGGGACCAACTTTTGAATACCTGTGTCGTAGAAGTCTGCCGCCTGGGATTGGAACCACTGTGTGACAGCCATCTCCGCCTCTCTGTCATTCTCAAAACGCTGACGCTGACGCTGACCGGACAGGAATTTCTTGAGGTGTAGGAAAAGATGGAAATCACTGGGAGCGAGGTCCGGGCTGTAGGGTGAATGATTAAACACCTCCCAGCTGAACTTCTGCAGGAGACTTGCTGTCCGTCGAGCCGTGTGCGGCTTAGCGTTATCACTGACCGCACTTCACAGTCGGCGGGGGCTGGAATAAGAACCTCCATCTTCAACAGCTGCAACGATGCTACTGTGAGAACGCGGGAGGTGCCGTTAGTGCATGCGCCATGCTACGTCATTGCTCTATCACGTACGCACAGTCGCTTCGCGCAATATAAGGTTTGCTAGCTGTGGGACGAGTGGGAAACTTACTTTGAGGACGCGCCTCATATATTTAAAAAGCTGGCATTATGCAGGCATCATACTTTATAACAAATTGTCAGATGAATTACAAGAATTGATGAATATTGATGAAGTAAGTGTGTACTAAGCAGTCATTGTTACTAAGCCCTCTTAACTCAAGAATGTGTGTTGCTGTTTTACAGAATCTGCTTGCACAGACGCATGCGACAGAAGTTACTCTGGATTCACTCATGGAACAGCTGAGGGCCACTTCAACAGATGTGAGCAATGTGACCAATCAGTTCCTCTGCCTGTCAAATACTCAGTTCCTTGAAAACAGAGTGTATGATGATGATGAAGATGATGAAAAGGGGGTGCCTCCAGAAGAGAAGAAAGAAGAGGCAAAGGTTAGAGCAGAAATGTGTAAACTGCATTGTAATGTAAGCTAATACATGATGCATCATAGCAAATGGTCAGTTACAGAAATAAACTTATAGCTTCATGCAGTCGGGCTTTTATGTGAACACCGAATGACATGAAGCAGACTCTTCTTCTTCTTATTGCGCCATCTCCGAACGAAGGTTGGCGATCCACATGGCGAACATTGTCCTCGAGACTGCCGCTCGAAAGATGTCTATTGAGGTGCATCCGAACCATCTTAGGTCTTTCATCCAGGAGTTTTGGGGTCTACAAACTGATCTTTTTCCTTGGATTTTGCCCTCGATGATCAGTCTTGAGATCTCATATAGTGGCAGACTACAGTGCTGAAAAAGTATTAAAAATTAATTGTTTTGCATGTTTGTACCCAGTGCTTGTAGAACTCCCATTTAAGTCTTCTGGCCATTTACCAATAATCCCCCCCCCCAGGGAAATTTGTCATGCAACTCAGGAAAGCCATAAATATTCACATTTTTCTTCAAATTTGGCAGACATATTGTTATCTTTGCCTAATAGACATGCAGCATAAACTATTGTAGTTAATGGAGGGCAAAGAAAAGCCATGTATGGACAAATACAAGGAGATGACAATTGATTGACGTTATGATCGCAGCTGTATGCTTACTCACATCACGTCTTGTCCGGGACTTTCAATTTCCAAGCACTTGATTTGCGTTGTACAGAGTGTCCGTACAACATTTGCTCATCATTGGTGCATGAATAGCATTTTTTGCTGGAAAACGCTAATCTCTTATGAGAGGATAATCTTCTTTCATGTCTGTGACCAATTTGAATATTTTAACATTGGATTGTTAGCAGATCAAGTCTAAGGAAGAACAGGAAGCAGAAGTAGTGGCTCGGGTGCGTGAAGCTTTGACCCTTGGCATTTCAATACTGGACAATATGTTTGATACTGTCGAGGTCCCAGCAAGTGATAGTGAAGATGAAGAAAGGTAAGATGTCCATATATAGGTTTGATTGCTTTTCTTCCCGTACTGATTTTTGTTGTGTTAAGACATTTTTAATTTCTCACTTGCATTTTGGTTCTGACTACAACATTTTTAAAACAAAATAGAAAAAATGATGTATTTCAATATCTTTAACATGTACTTTGTGCTTTAGTATATGTGCCTTTAGGATAATACTGGGTCCATCCACTAGTAGTGTTGAAACAATGTGTATTAAGGTTTTTGTTAAAGCAGAATTTTATATCCGTATAATTCCACAAGATGAGAAAATGAAAAAAATATCATAATCTTGGTACCAGAGCAGGCAATGTTGTTAAATTTAAGGATAATTCTTTAGCACCTGTGATTCATAATCACAGGTATTGATTTGTTATCGGGCCGGCATAGTTCAGTGAGTATAATAACTGGCTACGTACTGGACGACCGGGGTTCGATCCCCGACGGGGGCTGAGGATTTTTCCTCTAGCCTCTGCATCCGGACTGGTCCTGGGGCTCACCCAGCCTCCTATCCAATGGGTACCGGGGTCCTTCCTGGGGGGGTAAAGCACGGCCGGGGCGTGATGCTGACCACTCACCCCTTTCTGCTGCCAAGGTCAAGAATAAGTAGGAGCTATAACGCCTTTTTCCTCAAGCTCGTACATGGCGTATAGTGGGACAGCTTTGCTTTTGCTCTGATTGGTATTGTAGTATATAGGACTAACAGTGAGTGAAAATTGGTACAAGCTTCTGTGTCTTGCAGCAGTGGAGGACGATTAGTTCTGGAGCCTCATAATCCATACCTAAGTCAAGCATTGCCATACCTTATTGGCAGTCAACCGTTCATGGAGGATGATCATGTGGGATTGGGCTCACCAAGTGACTCAGAGGAGGAGGATGCTGATAAGCATTTTATCCATTCTAGTGAGAGCGAGAGTGAGAGTGAGATGGATATTGAACAGCAGAAAGGAAACAAGAAGAGGACCAGAGTGAGTGGATTTTTGGGAACACCTTTCTTCTTTGTCTGCTGTGCACTTGATTGATTACTTCATTAGACATTCTAGATATGCATGTACTTCATCATCTTCCTGGTACCTCTCTTGGGATCACGTGTGGTTATACTCAAATGATGCACGGGGCAACAAAGTCAAGAGATATTTTTTTTTGTAAATTCTAAAACCATTATGAAATGTATTGTGCCAGGTTACTAGAAAAGTATGTGGGAGAGATGTGTTTCGGAATAATGAATGATGTGAAGGGAGTTAAAAATGGAAGGGCAATTTATATTCCTTTATAATGTAAGATTTGAGGTTTCCACAGCCCTGAGTATGAAGATTTCTGTCTTCTGGGTTGTTGCAGTATGACTTTTTTTTCTCCGTCATCAGGGCAATGACGGAGGCAGTATGACCTCTGAAACGTTGGTTAACATCGACCAGACTACACAGCGCAACAACCCAGAAGACAGAAATCTTTATTTTCCTTTATTCTACAAAAGGTGCACAGGAACAAATGTACTGTAATTTTCTGATATAGTCCCTTAGCTTCTCTTTGTTCTACGAATTTTTTTCAGTCATCTGTGAAGAATGTTTTCAGTTGCATGTGAAACCCTGGACAGTAAACTCCTGATTATGTGTGTGTGAAGTATCCATGCATGACTTTTTTTCTCGTGAATGTGTTTACGTGTGAACTGGACTTTCGACACCCTTTCGTGCCATACTCTGGTTAGAAAGAGGGAAGTAGGTAGGATTGTTTTTGGGAGGGTCTGCAGAAGATGTCAAAAAATATGGAGATAAATTAAACATTTTTGTTGTGCTACTAACTCTACCAAATATAGTATATTTTGTTTAGTGAATGAATTGTAACTTGCCACCACCATTCTCCCTGTTGCTGTGGAACAAATGCTAATTATATGGAAACTGTAAGTCACTTAAAACTGTGGTTTACGTTTCTCTTTATGTAAATTATGCGTTGTTACAGGTGAGCCATTTTATTTATATGCTGTTTTAACATTTGTAGTTTTCTGTGAGTGGCAGTGAGAACTCAGAGTTTGATGGAAGTGATGGTAGCGGTGGGGAGGGTCCAGCACCAGGCAAACAGAAGAAGATGGAAGCTTCTGGATTGTTTGACAGTACTCCAGCTGCACACACAGGTGAAAGAAAGTTCTGTTTCATGAATGCGATATGTTTTATTTGCTAATAATAAGGGTTCAGAGTTACTGGTGACCTTTCAAGATATTTATCTTTAAATTCTCTATAAATTTTTTTGCTTATTTTCTGTTTTATCATTACTGAAAATGTAATCAATGCTACATTTAATCTACTAATACGTGTGCCTTGATTCATTAAATTTAAATTTATGTGCTGTGTTAGTATGTACATGTAGTTTAACCCTCAATAATTGCTGAAGTTTTCCGGCGCTATTATTCTTTCTCTGATTCCTTCTTTAACAGTTCTCTTCATTGCTGTTTTATTCTGCTTTGGCTCCACTGGTCACATTTGACTGCTTATGTAGAATGATTGGTTACAAGTTAAGGACATATGAAGGAAGTGCTGTGTTATAAAAATGAAAGATAATTTTAATTATGTTATTTAGGCGACATGTTTGGTGGTGACTCGCCTATTGAAGATGTTGCTGTTGTTGAAGATGATGATGTTACACGGGATAGCTTTGCAGCTGAGTTGACTGATAAATTGGGTGTAGCTGCTGCGTCAATAACATCCGATCAGCAGGCTCCTAAATCAAGAACTGCAGGTAATTGTAGTTATATCGTCTTATTTGAGAAACTTTTTTGGGTTTGTGGATGTCACAGCTTGTGAGAACAGTGGTGCAAACTATGAAACATGAACCACACTCGACTCACCCAAAATTCTCTTACCCTGTTTATTAACATTTCCAGATATATTGAAACATGAACCACACTCGACTCACCCCAAATTCTCTTATCCTGTTTATTAACATTTACAGATATAGGAAGTGTTCATTTGTCATTGAAGACTACAAATTCCGGGAACCCTTCATCATTTTCTATCCGGTGTAACGTTTCAACACAATGTATGACACTTCATATTTTCAGCATCTCTGATTGCTAGCAGGATTTTCATTTTACGAGGTTACAGATGCAAGATTTTTCTCAACACATTCCACATTGTCTTTGGTATCATACTGAATCAATGACTTGCATGCCATGTTTATTTTGAAGAACTTCAAACAAAGTTTCTCACTATTGCTTCCTTGTTGATAATGATCTTATCTTCCACCTTTCTGGCATTAACACAGTTTCCTGTCACAATTCCTGTACCACTCATAAGTTGACAGTCCCCTAGGAGGTATCTTGGTGTGGTGTATAATAATATTTCTTTGTTTACCTGTGTAGCATACTTTTTCTTGGAATCAGAGCACACACTGATCTTACTGCACACCAGTAAACATTGCCATTTTGCTTTTTCATTACCAGAGAGCTAGCATTTGTGGCATGTGGTAGTACAACTGGTAAGAGACAACGCTTGTATGCTGTTGCTGTGAATTGATATAACGTACATTTATATTCAATTAATAGGGAATCTCTCACAAGCACTAAAAGCTGTAAAGCTACTTTAGGCTCACAGTGTATTTTAAATTTTATAGCTTTCCGTAATTACTATTTTGAATTTTATTTTGTCTAATTGTAATTAATCAGATTATGCTTCAGTCAGTGTTTTTTTAAACGTGTCTTATAATGTATTTTTACAGGCCCTTCATTAGATTAGGATTGAACTTTTGCACATTTATGTATTATATTTACTGAATATTCCTTTTCATCAGTGTCAATGAAATTACTGGGTAAGTGTTCAAATTATCATCGTTGATATTTGGGATTAAGAATTATTTTAATAATATTCAGGTGTCTGTTTTACTTTAAATTATATTCTATATATTTTAAAGTTGAATTGTGGCACAGAGGAATTTGTAATGTAGGAGTTGTAACTTCTTGCATATTGGCAGGTAAACCAACTTTGGAGTGGTATGAGGATGATGATAATAGTCTCTTTGGAGAGCAAGTTGGGAAGTTCTCTGGTGGACAGGGTCTGTTTGATGGTGTAGAGGATACATCAGGATCTTTGTGGAACACTAAGGACAAATTGAATGCAGATAAAGGTACATGTCACTAATATATTCTTTAGTGGACAGTAGACAAAGAAGTCTCAATTTCCTTCTGGAAATTGAACTTTGTTTGCAGAGAGGATCAAAATTGTTAATGTCTTGAAAGAACTCCGTCTCATCTGTTCTGATTTCTGTTAGGTGTCAAGAAACGTTCTGGCGAAGCATCTCTGTTTGGTTCTGATACTGGCTTTGAAGATGGTATATTCGATAGTGCTGCTGATACAGAGAAAACCAAACGATTACTCCGTGTTGCCACAACAGGTGTACTTACCAGTACTCCAGAAACTTGGGTTGATGTTTTGGGCCTGTCTAACGACTGTGGTAATATCTCATTCTTAAACAATTTATGTTTGGTTGTCCTTTTATTTAATTGATGTGTTTCGTATTGTTCTTGGTGTAAGCAGGATTTATTTCCTGAAACAGCATTAACCAGTTGGTCTGTATAATGGTGAAGATTTGGTTCCCCCCCCCCCCTTTTCTCCCCCAGTACACAGTAAATTCATAAATATTACTTAGATGAGCTTTGGCTCAAAAAGGTTAATTGATCCTGCTTACTGCATTTGAAAACAATGGAAGAATAACACTTGAAATTGTTGTTCTCTGTTTGTTGTCCTTTCTGTCATTTTGGTTTTGTTTGTCTTTAATCCACACTGGTCCTTATAATACGTATAATGCATACTGCACAGCTGGCTGGTCACAGCCAGCTTGTATTAAAAGAATTGTTGAATGTTTTCGGACACCCTCCATTCTTCTATCAGCCCTTACACAATAGCTGAATATACCAAAATATTCCAGTAATTACGCACCCACAATCGACCAGCTGTGACGTCACTCCAAGTAGGTCAGATGCGAGGGACGGGCACTTGTTCTTACACTGCAGGTCCATGATTGTATTTAGTGACGAGTACAAATTATGAAGGTCCTCATTGTGCAGTTTCCATCAGCCTTCTGAACCCCGGAGGTTTGGGGTTTTCTGTTACAAGTTCTTGTTAAGCGTGTGTTATTAGTATTTTGCTTTGAATAGTTGGTTTTTGTTGTTTGTGTGCCAAATCCCCATGGAGGCCTACCAGAATAGGTCAGGAGACAGATAGTATAGAATTCTCAAGTTTAATTAGTTTAATATAAAGTTTGTAACTAAGATAAAAAAATTTGAACATGTCTGTAATATCTGTAAGACTTGAGGTTCTCACAGCGGTGAATATGAAGATTTCTGTCTTCTGGGTTATTGCGCTGTGTAGTCTGGTCGATGTTAACCAACGTTTCAGAGGTCATACTGCCTCCGTCATCAGGGCGATGAATATTCACAGCGCAATAACCCAGAAGACAGAAATCTTCATGTCTGTAATATCTCTTTTGTTTTAAAAATGTTAATTTTGTGGATATCAGAACATAATGTATTAATTCCTGGTTGGACCTGTTCTGCTGGAACTTTATCAGAGCCTGGAAGTCTATACCTTAAAATATTTCAGTAACAGCCTCAGCCTCAAAGAAACTAGGTTTTAAATACTAATGTCGTATCTCGATGTATTTCAGTCTGCCTAGCATTGTTAACCCCATGTGCGTTCAGTAGCTGATAATAGTAATTCTTCCACCTATTAAAATACAGTACTGCAATACTGTTGATACAGTGTTTTCTAATCTAAAATTTTAATTAAAATATATGATTGAAGATGATTAATTAACCTTTGATTATGTCAAAAGTATTGCAGACAAAACACGACTGGTCAGTAAAATGAGAAATTTATTTGATGCATTGCCTTATAGTAAATGCAATAGGTTGGTTGTGTGTTTGAAATGTGGAGGTATTTTTATTGCAGAAATTTCCAACATTAAGACTTCTCCAGTGTTGGATGGTGACTTGTTTGCTGCCCCTGTACCAACTTCTAGGGACTCTGTACAAGTTATAGTGGATCAACAGCATAGTATTAAGAAGAAGGTTAGATACTTGATCATCTTCTGTGACAGCTTTCATAATCTTGTTTGGTAACTGATCTTAGGAATGAATTTGTCTCAGAATCTGAACATAATGAGTAACATTTTAGTGTGCATGCTTCTGCTTGCTGCTGCCCTGTGCTAATAATTGACATCAAGCTTTATACAAAGATTAATTGTCATGTCCCACTCTTTATTACACTGACATACATTTTCAGGTATGAGTTCTTATTCGTAATTTTGTTTGTGATTATTTCCAGATTGGATCAGCTAATACGTGTTTGCGCTTTTTTCCCTTATATTAAAAGTGTTGAAATGTTCAAGTGGGTTAGACTGTTTCAGGCTGATTCTTCTCAAGTTTCTTTTTAACACATATTCCAGTGTAAGTTAGTTTAGAAAGTACAAGTTTTAGAGTTTAAGGTGACTAAATGTGATGAAATCCTCATAGGTGAACAGTCAGGAAGACTTCACTGCAGATTTAGAAATTAATAAACCAAACATCCAAATGTACTGATTTCAGAACCGTGCTGGTGCAGAGTCGTCTGTCTTTGGTGGTGTGAATGTGTTCAAAGCTGGTGTTCGCAGGCCACCATCAAGTTCATCCTGCAGCAGTGATGGTACAGTGCCAACTTTTGAGTACACGGACAGTATTAGTAGCGGTATTGGGCAGACCCGCAGTGAACAGCAAGACTCCACTAAAAGGTTGGTATGATTGTCTTATTGTGTGTTACATGATATTTGTGTGCTGTGTGTTGAATTTCTCTGAGGGAAAAACATAGATAGAGGGTGTTTGAGAAGGACACTTTTATGACTTCTATTGAATTTGAAGCATACCACTGTGTGCAATTAATATACAGGGAAATTGAAAATAATAAACACTTCCAGATGTTCATAAAACATGCATGTGACTGAATTCTTGTGTGCCAACATTAAATGAAAGTTTTTCTACTGACTCTTCAGTTTCTCACACTTGAAATGATGCATGATGTCAGTGTTGCACAGGAATTTGTCACCTTCATTTTCATATCATAGATGACACATGTCTGTCTGCCTGCTTTTGAGAAATGTGATGATTGTCCTTTATTATTTAAGCAGTGTGCCTAATCAGTTGGTGTTCATGGTCTTATTTACTGTGTATTATCCAGGCTGGTATATCCAAGGTTTGCTTGGGCAGCACAACGTTGAATAGTGCTGATATCTGCATAATCATCCCCATAAACAAATCTGTCCATCTTGATATTACTCAGTTTTTTATGTGTCTAGGATTCTTATTTTTAGTTATTCTTTCTTTTTTATATTACGTTCTGTTTTTTGCAGTCTAGGAATATCTGCAGCAAATAATGTGTCCTTGTTTGGTGGTAGTGACTATCTGTTTGATCCTGTACCTACCTCGAGAAATGATCATTCAGCTGTAGTCATTAAAAATGAAAAGATTCCTCCTGAGGCAGTCACAGCTTCTGACTTGTTCCATGATGAGAGCACAGGCGATAGTGTGTTGAGCAAACCACAGAAAGGATTAGCACCTTGGTAAGTATGAATCAGTATCAGTAAAAAGATAGAGGCTGTGCAAATAGCAGTCATAAAACACTAAATTTTCGTGTGGATTTTAATCAAAAGAATACCTCATTTGTATTCAGTTTATTTTATTTTGTTGTGTTTTCTGCCTTCTGTTCATGTGAATGTATTGAATTGTTTATGTATTATTTATTATTTGTTAGTTTGAAGATGGAGTGACATTCGCTTTCGTGCCACTTCTCGTATAGGTGCAAGATATTTTGGAAACAAGTACCTCATTTGGGTACTATTATCAGGGTTGAAGTGAGGGCTCAGGTTGTAGCTGGTTTATATAGTGTTAGGAGATGGAGGAGGTCACAGGAAGTGGCCAGTTAGAGCAGTGGTCCCCAACCTTTTTGTGCCTACGGGCACATTTGAGAGTTTGAGATCGTGGCGGGCACCAACCAATTAACAAAGGCAAATTTTCTTTTCTCTTGACAAATAAGATATGGACACCAAATAATACACAAAACAACACGACATTTAATGATACAAGAAACCACGCAATCAAAAATACTTAGTTTTATAAGTACAATTATTATTACACAAGTGGGAAGTTAGTGTGATGTTTGTCACTGCATTTCATCGGCCAGTTTTTCAAATTTGGGAGTGTAGGATGATGTTGCTGCTCGCAAGCAATTGTCAAGATGGGCGTCAGTAAGTCGAGATCTGTGCTTTGATTTTATAATTTTCGTGGTTGAACGGCCTTCATTATTCAGTCTAACTTCTTTCTGTAACAACGCGGGCACCCAAAAAAGAGCCTTGGCCGGCGCCCGCGGGCACCGCGTTGGGGACCACTGAGTTAGAGCAATGGGATGAGGGGGAGATCTGGACATACACGCTGAGAGAAAAATGCTTGCCAGGAGACGAACCCTGATTATGCAGTTAATGTTATTTATTTTGCTGGTTGAGCTGTCTCATCAGTTTCAGAAATGGAATTAATAACTAATTCCAAATTTGGCCAGATGTAGAATAGTATCATGGACAAGGCTATTGCAGTGTTTCTGGTTGTAGAGTCTCCATGTTTATATAATTTATCTTTTTTGAATTTCAGTTCAGGCAAACCAACCACTGAAGGAGACTCCAATTTATCTTTTTTGAATTTCAGTTCAGCCAAACTAACCACTGAAGGAGACTCTGTACGTAGAGTTGGGACTGCATCCCGGAAACCTTTTTCCCTGTTCAATGACTCAGATTCTGGAGATGATGAGCTTTTGTTCTCATCCACAAGCTCAACAAGTTCCCGTTCTAGGCGTTCACAAGGAAGCGGAGACCTCCTCACAGAACCTGGTGATAAAGGACGGCCTACAACAGTTCCAAGGAAAGGCCTCTTTGATAATGAAGACCTGTTTGGTGGGGCCAAAGATGAACCATATTTTGACATATTTAGCACAGGAGCTAATACTGCCATCGTAAAGCCAAATTCATTGCCCGAACAAAATAAAAATGGAAATGAAGACTTGTTTTCTGAACAGTTGAATGATCCAGAATTCAACTTATTTAAGCCATTTAATACAACTCCAGAAAAGTTAAAAAGTGATGACAAAGATGCATTGTTTGGTGATGATGGTAGTAGGATTAATGCAAAACCAGGAAAAAGTATAGCTCAGGTGTCAGATAGTCATAGTTCCTTCAAAGACAGTGGATCAGTAAAGCCTTCATGGGGACTATTTTCGGACAGTGGTAGTGATGACACACATGATATTTTTGCTGTACCTGTGAACAAGGCACATCGTGAGCTCTCACCTTCTAAAGCCACGTTAGTAAACAGTTTGTTTTCAGGAGGAAGTGTTTTAGAGGACAGCAAAGACGATTTATTTGCAGGTCCAGTAAAAGCAAAGAATGAAAGTAAAGATATAAGTGAAACAGATGGGTTTCTTGACAAAATTGATGATATATTTTCAGTTTCTAGAACAGCGAGCAGTAGTAAAGTTGAAAGGGAGAAAAAAGTTATTAACGGACATTATGCCGCGTCAGATTCAGAGTTTGTAACTGAATCAGAAAGTGCCAGGAAAGACGAACTTGCCGAAGTTTCAGGCGAAGTCAGTGATGTGATTTCTTCTGGTATTTTTAGTGAAGTAAGGGATGAAAATGGCAGTGATCTGTTTAATAGAAGTACTGCTAATCCATCAGTAAATACAAAACCTGTTATTGCAAACAAACCTGTCATAAGTCCAAAACCAAAGCTGTCTCCTGTTTCTAAACCACCACTGTTACAAGATACAGCAAAGGGCTCTGGTGACTTATCTTCTAAAATGAATACAGATGAAAACATTCTGCAGCTTTCCAATCCCACCAACACCAAAGAAAGAAGTGATAACCTCTCAGCAAAATCAGGTCAAAAAATTGAAGTTCATGATTCGTTTGCAGAGCGTACAGAAAGGTTGATTTCCCCAGGATCTTCTGTTCCACCATCAAAACTAAGACCTCCAAAGACATTAAATATTCGCAAGAGTACAGGTCTACTGTTCAGCAGTTCTTCAAATGAAGATGAGGATTTGTTTGGAATGTCTGTGCCTGAAAAAGTCTTAATGGATTCAAATTCTGCAAAAGCTGTTGATCAGAAACCAATAAGTAATTTGGTTATTGTTCAGCCACAATGTTCCTCTGTTGATGTGGCCAGGCCAGTATCATTCAGTGCAGAAAAATGTGCTAATAGCGGGAAGGAAATATCCAGTAAAGTTGGCTGTAGTCAAGGTAAGATATCCTTTTGATACCAACATGCAAAACAGATGATAACAATTTGGTGAATTGTCAGTATAATCTTTAAGCACTGGCATTTACATCAACTAGTAGCTCTATGTCAGATATTATCTTGTGATCGTGTGAAGACCAAATTGAAGACAGACAGAACGGAAAAGTTTCCTATTTTACGAGGCGCGTCCTCAAAGTAAGTTTTCCTGGTTCCGTTTACAGAAACAAAACACAATTTCATGGGAATATTTATTGCAACAGATACAGCAAGTGTCCAGCTATTTTTCAACATATTCGCCACCGGAATTGAGACATTTGTCATACCGTGGGACCAACTTTTGAATACCTGTGTCGTAGAAGTCTGCCGCCTGGGATTGGAACCACTGTGTGACAACCATCTCCGCCTCTCTTTCATTCTCAAAACGCTGACGCTGACGCTGACCGGACAGGAATTTCTTGAGGTGTAGGAAAAGATGGAAATCACTGGGAGCGAGGTCCGGGCTGTAGGGTGAATGATTAAACACCTCCCAGCTGAACTCCTGCAGGAGACTCGCTGTCCGTTGAGCCGTGTGCGGCCTAGCGTTATCACTGACCGCACTTCACAGTCGGCGGGGGCTGGAATAAGAACCTCCATCTTCAACAGCTGCAACGATGCTACTGTGAGAACGCGGGAAGTGCCGTTAGTGCATGCGCCATGCTACGTCATTGCTCTATCACGTACGCACAGTCGCTTCGCGCAATATAAGGTTTGCTAGCTGTGGGACGAGTGGGAAACTTACTTTGTGGACGCGCCTCGTATATGGAGTTTTACTTGTGATATTTTAGTGCATACTATAAGAATATTATAAATATTTGGTAAGTAAGAGTGATAAATTTAGAAAATAATGGCATTTTAGTTTAAATATGGCAGAAAGTATGCAGTTTACGTTATGTCGATGCAACTGGCTTTTTAATCTAAGCAGAGGGAGTGCAGTACAAATGTGTTTAACACAGTTATATTTTTAATTAGAATAGTAAATATTTACAAAATTTGTTTTACTCAGTTTTAACCTAAGGTCTTGTAATGGAAGACCAGATTTGTGGTGTTTCTGTCATTTCATTGAAACTGAATTAAAAAGATTTGATTGTCAGTTATGAAAACTAATTTTATGCAGAAATGAATGTGTCATGTACATGCCACTGTTTGAAGTAAAGCACAGTAATTTATTTATAATTTCTGCAGATTCTAATGATAACAGCACAGCAAAGGCTCGGTCAGTCGGTGCAAGCCCCAGACATTTGAACATTGATCCTGTGGCACTTCTGATTGGAGTCAGGCCATCACGGAATGTTGAAGCAGCTGTCAGTTTTGATGAGCCAGCTCAGTTTAGTGCCACTCTTCATAATGCAGGCAAGGTACGGTGGCTCTGACATGTAGCACAACCATACAGAATCAAACACACCTTGCTTCTTATATTTATCATGTATTTTCTTGCTGTTTTGTTTTTACAAAACAACCTGATATATCTTGTGTGGCCTCTTGTACTAAGGTTGATAATGAGGAGGTTAAGAAATCTTACATAAAGATGTATGTTATATTTAGTTTCAACATTTTTAGCATGTTTGGTGTTAGGAAAATAAATTGTAGGTTATAGTCAAGTATGTATTTGAGGGTGGTTTAAACCTGGCTTGGAATTATGAACATCTTCATCTGTACTTACCAATTGATGTAGTAACCTTATGTATGTACAGTTGATACGAATTGTATAAATATAAGAGTAACCTTATGTATGTACAGTTGATACAAATTATATAAATATAAATGTATGCAGGTTTGTCTGAAGATGTCTGACAAAGGTGCGGTGTTGAAACACACATTTTCATTGTCTGGAGATTGAGATTAGCTCTTTCCAGTAGACCCGTTCGATTAGGGTATGTGGTTCCACCTGATGTTAAAGCAGACAAAGCTTCTGAAATGTATGTTTTTAAATTGATAGATTAAAGAAATTCTAAGAATGTGCATTGCTTTGTTAAGTGTTGTGGGCCATAGAAGATGTTTTAAATACGTTTTTGATGTGATGGAGTGAATAATCTAAGAAAACAGGTAGTACAGAATTATGTCAACACACTGAGACTTGTTGGGTTTGCAGTATCACTTCTAAAATCTGCCGCTTCCAGGATACAGTACAAATTATGGAAGGAAGAAAATTTCTTCTTGGTGTTTCCGCAGGCAAATATATTAACAACATGTGGAGTATGTGTATTATTTTCAGGTCCTACAATTAACAGTTCATTAATATTTTCAGGACCGTGCCAGAATTCAAGCAAAACGTCGTCCCCCCAGTCGCAGAGCTCGGAAAGAAGCTGTGAGATTGTCGGGTATTGACCACGATGGGTTTGAGACAGCTTCAGTAATGGCTGCTGAGAAAGTTCCAAACCCTGCTCCAGATAAATCTGATGATATACAAGAACCTGTTGCACGGACTGCAGAAGCTCCTGGCCTTAGCTCGACAGAGTCACAGCCTCCTGCATCACACACTGTGGGTTCCCTGTCCAAGCCTCGTTCATCAAGTTTTTTAGACGGCAGCAGTAATCTTCTGTCTCCATCAACAGATGAAGAGGATCTGTTTGGAGTGCCACAAGATTTACCTTCAGAATATGGAAGCAACAAAGATGATGGCCAAAATCTTTTCAGTTATGCACCTGTTCTCTCTCCATTAGACTCACTTCTTAAGTTTCCGGCAGAAAGTGATCCATCAAAATGTGTAGCTATTGATACAGGGGGCAAATTCAGTACCAGTGATGTTCTCCATACAAGCAAATTGTTGGAAGACTCGTCGGATAAAATGCCTGCTGTACGTACAAGTCCCACGTCTTCAAATGGAAGCAACATGGCAGTTCCAAATATGAGCAGTGGTTCTCATGACATACGTGTAACTGGACCTCCGTTGCATACATTACATGGTAGTTTGCATAATTGTGATGAAAATGATGATTCCAATGACCTTTTCTCTGAAACGAAGAAGACTGTGCCATCATCTAGAAAAGACAAACAGGATCTCTTTGATACCACACGGAACTCTGAGAGTCTATTTGCATCAGAGAAGTCCATTCCAGAATTAGATGTAAGTAATTACCTTCCTGAAGGAACAGGGATTTTATCAGACTGTCCTGAAAATGCACGTCCTTTATCGAAAGATTATCTGTCATCAAAATATCCTTTACCTGTGGATGATGAGAAACCGCCTGTGCCAGAGAACATCATGCAGTCTAATGCACAAGAGGAATTATTTGGATCAGGATACTTAAAACATAATTTATTTACGCCAAGAAAAGGTTCCAGTGAAAAAGTGGATGATGATATGTTCTTAACCTCGAATATGGACAATTCCATTTGTAGTGATAGTGGTGATGAATTGTTTTCTGTGGGCACAAACTCTTCCCTGAATAAAGACAATAAAAATAAGTCAGATATCACTAAACCAAAAGAGATCTGTGATATTGATGAAAATATCTTATTTTCTTCTGGAGACAAGCAGAAGCAGCCACTACCTACACAGAAGAATTTATTCTCAAACAACGCCAAAGATATAAATACACCAAAATTGGCAGTATCAGAGACTGGTTCAAATTCTGGTCTCTTTGGAGGAGATAGCCCCGAATCTGATGACATCTTCTTTGACATCAGTTCCAAAAAGAAAGCTGCTAATGCCATAATGAAGGGAAAACTAAGTGGAGTTGTGACATCATCAGCAAAAGGCTCTCTTTTTGGTGGTGACGATGATGACGATGATATATTTGGATCTGATAAGTCAGCCAGCAAATCTGCCGTATTTCCTAAGCCAGCCATCGCAACATTAGACAATGCAGGTCAGTACTGTCAGCAATCATGGTAGACATTTTCTGGAAACGTTCCATGCTGAGTGAGATTTGCTAAGTGAAAATGTATCTCACAGGATGGACTTTGGCAGGGTCTGCCTTGGCCGGTTGATGGTTATGTAGGTGGTCAAGACATTCTCTGTTACAGGATGTGAAGGTTCGTCGTGTTAATAAATGCTTGCTACCTCCCTCGTTTTCAGAGCCAGTTCAGTATACTTTACAGCTTGACACAAACAGCTGTTTTTAGTATTAACATTATGCATGTTTGTTTCATGCCCCACCAACATTAGGGCCACTCAGTGCAGGGTCCTGAGATATTGTATGGTCAAAATATTCAGTTTTATTGAGGTTACATTTGTAGACTGTAAAATCTATGTCATTCATGTTGGTGACAATAACTAATGAACTGCTAAAGCTAGGAATGTGAAGTTTGGTATGGAAAGAACATAAACATAAAAACACATATTCTGTGTGATTAGTGGGAACATGTTGACAGTTACAAACACGGCAATTTTGCAGAAATTTGACTGACAAACTGAATTTGTTTATAGTTATATAATGTCACTTTTTTGGTAGCTCAGACTATGTGGCGTTGAATGAGAGGATGATATTGAATAATGAATTGTAAATGATGTGGAAGGAAGTAGTCGTAGTCGTGGCCTAATTTAAGGTACTATCCTGGCAGGACTGACAAAAACCATGAAAAAACCCAGTCAGGATAGCCGGTATCTGGGCCGAGATTTTAACCCGGGACCTCCCAAATACACAGCAGGAGTGTTAACCACGACGTTCAGTGACACTAAATTTAGTCTGAATTTATGCTAGTGGAAATCCTGCTTACAGATGGTTTAGTACGAAGAAAACCATTTATACTTCTTGCTAGACTTTCAATGTTTATTAAACTTTTTCCCATAACTTGATGTTAATTGGTACTTTTTTAAAAATTTTGTCTTGCAGATGCATTGTTTGTATCTGGTTTGACCAAGAAGAAACCCCAAACTAAACTAAACAGACCAACAGGTTCCAGTTCTAGTCGGCAGACTGTCACAGCGGAAGGCGACTTGTTTGAAGATCCATTGATGGTGGTCACAAAGAAGTGAGTAATCATCGACTTGCCTGCTGTTCATGAATGACTAATATGTATATTGTGTATATTCTAATTTAGTAAAACATCAGACTTGTTGACTATTTGTGTACTCAGAGTGACAAGTTCTGATGTCAATAATTTTGTAAATACATATTATCTGAATCAGACTATATCAAGAGTTGAAACATGTGTCAGTGATATCGTGAAAAGAACAAGTGCTTATGAGTATGTTCTATTTCCATTTTAATAGAACATGCCAGTTGCATATTTTTGTATGTCTTCTTACTGTAGTTAAAGATGCAGTCTGTGGTGCTGTTTAAAATTAATAAGCCATTTCTTTTACTCCTGTTCCTGAATACTAAGGTTCTTCATAATACACTCAGAAACAATACATATACCCACAACTGAAATTGATGAAAGATTTATAACTCTCTATTAGATTTTGCGGTACTTCGGAACATAGTGCATGTAACATTTGCTATATCATACAGTTATATTAATTAATTATTGTAACAGAATATTAGTTTTAATGTTGCTGGTCATAATTATTCCCCACAATTAAAAATATGTAATATTAATGATGGAAACTGTGAAGACAATGAAGCTAGCTGTGAAGGTACACTGGGTGCTTGGATGTAAGGTTTCAGTATTTATCATATTTTAGCTTAAAAAGAAGGTAAATTGATTAGCCTTACGCACTAGCCATTAAACTGAAGGTTTGTTGGATCCCAGAGCTGCTTCTTTGAGATTTGTTACCCAGTCCATCCATTTTGGAGCCCATTTTCATCAATCAACTGCCACAGCTGGCAGTTAGGCTGTGAATAGTCTGGCCCCCCCCCCCCTTCATAAAAACTGTATTAAATCAGGTAACTTAGGAAACTAAGGAACAGGGTCATGCCATAAGAACACTGTTCCACATTAGCAGCTCAGTGAACTTCAGGGAGGGATCAGCTATAGTCATTATGAAATATATTTATAATTTTATGGCAATAGCTGACGAGCCAGTGTATACAGGCACTTGGAAGTCTTGCATATTAGGCAATTGTGTGTATCTAGAAAAAATTATATGAGAAGTTATGATAAAAGGTACTGACATTATGATAGAACAAACAGATGCAATGTTTTCCAGAGAAATCAAAAGCAGTCATTAGTAGGTTGTATCCCACCTAACCTAACCTGTTTACAATGTGTTTTATGCAGCATATGACTCTTTTGCACATTTTCTTTGTTATAGTGTATTATGGTAAATCTGGAAATATTATGAAGTTCTTGGCACAAGAAAGAAGTAACTGTTCCTTTCCTTATGTATGATCATTTATACCTGTATTTCAGTGAAAATTAAAGTATACAAAACAATAATTTTGCCTGTTGTTTTGTATGGGTGCGAAACATGGTCTCTCAGAGGGAGGAACACAGATTGCAGGTGTTAGAGATTAGGGTGTTGAGGAGGATATTTGGGCCTAGGAATGAAGACAAGGTATGGAGAAAGCTGCATAATGATGAGCTTAAAAATCTGTACTCCTCCCCCAATATTGCCAGGGTGATTAAGTCGAGAAGAATGAGATGGGTGGGGCATGTAGCGTGCATGGATGGGACAAGAGGTGTGCACCGGGTGTTGGGAAGGCTGAGGGGAAGAGACCACTGGGGAGACCTAGACGTAGATGGGAGGATAATGTCAAGCGGGATCTATGGGAGATAAGAGTTGAAGGCGACTGGATTTTGTTGGCCCAGGACAGGGTCCGGTGGAGGGCTTTGGTTAATTTGGTGATGAACCTACGGGTTCGATAAGCCATCTAGTTAGTTGCAGACTGACAAACTTCAAAATCTAAATTTCCATGTTTCTTTGTTCAAATAAATATTTCATTCAGGTAGAGTATACATAAAAGATTCTTATGTTTAATTGTAAGTTCAAATATTTATGACTGGCAAGGAATTGTTGACGCAGATATCAAGTATACACTTGGCTTTTGAGCCATATATAAGTCTCATTGTATTAACTCTCCTGCCTCTTTTCCTTCCAGTTTATTTCTCTCCTTAATTTCCTGCTCTTGTTGGTATGCCATGGTTAAAGTCTGGTGAAGAAAGCAGTTATTCTCATTCCAGGTCTTCTATGGTCATGGTAGGCTGCTCAGGCAAAATTATGTTTATCTTTTGAAATTGCCTGTGATTCATAATTCTAATTTACCTTAGTTTATATTTTGAAAACATTATATAATCTCAGTTCTTGATTGTATAATTTAAAATTGTATTTTTGTTTCTAAGTTTGTCATTAAGTCTCTTGTTAATAAATTGTTAATACATATACATATTATGAAAGATTGTGTTATGATTCACTTCTGTCATTGAAGAGTGGACATGTGTATTTTAATAAATCACAAAGTTTAAGATATTAAAGAAACAAAATGTTACTGGGAGCTTGAAAATCAGACAGCGGTATTGTCGCTAATGTGGCTGCTGTAACCACTTAAAAGTTGTGTACCACTTTTGTAACACGTCATTCGGAGTTACGAAAACTTGAATTTGCAGTTTGGGAAGCTATGTTGTTATTGCTATTACCTTTGGACATTATTATGGTATGCAATTTGGCAGTGTATAATCATCTTAGAGACATTTTATCATAGCACTATGTTATATTAAAGACTTTACAGATTAGATTTGTGCGTATTTCATCTTCCAAGTGTCTAGTCAAGTCTTTAGTGTGCGGTATTTGACGCAGCAGTAGTCTGTTTTAAACCACATTATAGAAATAAATATAAAATATGATTAGATGAAAGAGGAAGGAGCACTTGCAAAGCGGACCATGGGCACTGCGGACTACTTGCAATAACCCTCTATCTTGCCACTGCTTAGAATACATAAAACCCATGTTTTAAGTATCTGGTTGTGTTCATTTATAGTGCATAGTGATCTGTTGTGTGACCTTCACATTCTGGAAATAATTGCGCTATTGTTCAGTGAAATGAAGTACACATTAAGTTATGAGTGCATCACAGTAACGTGATGAAGGGAAAGTGAAACTGCTTTTGTCGAGACACCATGAGCAGAAGTCTGGTTCCAAGTTAGAGAAATTTGGGATGCTTGTGTAGATGGATTCATTGTTTTGTTTACTGTTGGGCAAGGGTAGAACATCTACTCTTGAATTTGGATGTTTGAAGCTGGAATGTAAGACGGTTTTCACTTTTTATACAGATAAAAATACTATAGGGTGAATGTTAAACCGACAAAAGATATTCACTTAATGTACAGGTTCTTTGTCACATAATAAAGTAAGTATACACACGTAAGTTGTCATTTTTGTGTGTGATGGTATCTGATGTGTTACTAGGTACTGTCAGGATGCTATGACCTTTCTGAAAAGTAAGCCACGCCCACTCAAAAAATTCAGTTTCTCTATACATCGAAATTCTGATGTATTTAGAATGGTAAACAGTCAACTTTTTTAAATATATAACAGAGTTCAATCTTTGGAACATGACACAGGTTTTATTTGGGCCATATAAAGTTCATTACAGAACCAGTTTTCTGCCAACTTTCACTGGCTGAAAGAGAAAGTTTCAAGAGCAATTATGTGATCATATTCGTGAGCCACTAGAATTAAAACAAGGATAAACTATTCTGATATTTACTTAACCTTGAGTAATAATAATACCAACAACAATAACGCCTACATAGAAAACATTTTTGTTTAATAAACGACTGACGTTAGTGGGCTAATGGCATGATAATTTCAGAATGTTGCTTTATGATCAATGAACAGAGATAATGAGGTAAAGTTACTGAACAATTCTGATTTACATTACTTCAACAGTGGACTTACTGTATGCATAGATTTCACTGGACAGAAGTGAATAAGCTGAACCACATCAGAGCCATTGTGTTAAGTAATGTGTTCCCCCCCCCCCCATAAGTAAATGTAATTAAATTAAGAGTGATTATGTTAGGCAGTATGCACTGTTATCATCAGAATGTTACCCAGTTATTAATTCTTAGAGGTCCAGAAATGGTGTTTTGCTGCTGAACGATTTCAGCTATAAACATGATTTGAGGGGAATATCCAGCCCATACATGCATATAGTTGAGGAGGAGCCATCCTGGCTACGTAGAACTATATGTCAAAATGATAGTGTGATCATTTACCAGATTTTAGTCATGAACAAAACAAGATATAAATAAAACAACACACACAATGAATTCTGGCAAATCGCTTGGGAATAACTGATTAACCGAAAACAAACAGGATGAATAGTGGTTAGTCAAGAGTCTTAGATGCATTTATTCATGATTGATCACATTACTAACTAGGATTTGAGGTTTTCACAGCTGTGAGTCCGAAGATGGCTGCCTCTCTGGGTTGTGCAATGTAGTCTGATGGAAGTTTACAAATGTTTTAGAGGTCCTTGCTGCCTCCCTCATTGCCCTGATGATGAAGGCAGCTAGGACCTATGAAACGGTAAACTTCAATCAGACTAGATGGCACCACAACTCAGAAGACATCCCTCTTCGTACACATTACTGTTTATTGGGAAATACACGAAAATAATCTTGATTGAGTGGATTTCTGGGAGTTGAGCCCAGAAGGGTTGGGATCACTTTGGCTGATGACCTCTGCGACTTGGGTGGAAAGTGATTTTTGCTGAAGGGCTCCATGATTGGGGAAGGTGGGACATGCCCCTTTTGAATTAAGCCTTGTCATTTTCCTTATAACTAAGGAAAAGCACTGTAAACATCAGTCAAGTTATCCAAGTAGTTGGAGACTCAATGTGAAGACACTAGGATTGAAACGCAGCTTCTGGACGTGGCTGTGGACCTCCGGACAGGACATGAGCAATCCATAATTGTATGGATGAGCTGCTTGTAGAGCAGCACGCCGTTTCTGAAGGACAGTCCGCTTCTCCTGTTACGGAGGGGGCCAAATACGCCCAGCTATCAGGCTCACTCTGCACTTCAGCAATCTGCTACTTGTTTCCTGAAAGATTTTCAGCGCCGACAAAGAAATGAAAATTCAAACCTCAAAAATTTAAAAAAAACTGCTTCGGAGCTTTCGTATATTTTGTATAGAAACTAAACCAATCCTGGAATTCCAGCGCAGGTAGATGCTGTCAGACGCTCGGCTGGTGGGACTTCCAACCCTAAGACATTCAAGCCACACGAGACAAGACTAGAAAATACATAAATTTTTACAAGTGGTGGGTCGATATTCCCGTCGCTTTTAATCCTCTAATCTGGAGGTGAGGGACTATTCTGTCTGGCTTTGGTAGCCCTATTATAGATAACTTCCGTTTTCCACAATAGTTGCTTTCTCGCAAATCGCCACATGTAATGAAAATCTTGTAAAACGACAAACATAACATTCGTAATTTTTGATGTTAAACTGGTTCGAGATAGTCAGTTTATCATGTGCATAACATTTCCTGATAAGCTTGGAAAAGTGTTGACGCAGGTAATAGATTTTAAAAATTGGTCCAGACTGCTCCTCATAATGCTGAAATAAAACCGCAAATATGTGAATTCGCGTATAGCGAGAGTCATCTGTTTAGTAAACTAGGTCCTAAATCATCCGTTCTCGATATCGCAGATTACTGCTTGCATATAGTCTCTGAATTGTATACAGAGGTTGGTATTCCTGTGGTTTGCTTTGTTTTCCGGGTATTACAAAGTCTAGTGTGCAGCATAAATAGATGTATGTTTACATCATGTTAATCGCTTCGAGTTTTTGTTACAAGTGGAATAGTGTCTTTTTAATGGCATTAGTAGCCTAATTGATAAACCGTGAATAGATTTAATTTCCAATCCTTTTCTATACCCAGAATGGAGGGGAAAAGGCTCGAAACCGTCGTACGGAACTGGGCGAAGGTAATGGGCTTAATGCCTAATGGAAATGCTTCAGAAGTTTTCAGGAAGTGAGTATTTAAGTATATTGAAGTGCAAAAGAATATTGTTATAAAATGACAGATGTTACAAAGAGAGTTTCTTTTATTGTAACAAATGTAATATACTTCCTTCTTCACTGAAGTTGTTCTATTATTACCGTCATTCGAACATGGAAAGGTTTCAAATTCAGACATTCGCAATACATAAATATGACTTTCATATGCCGAATACTAACCGTACTAGATACGAAAATGAGTGTACTACACGAGTCAAATTATTCTGTAAGCTTTCATCAACCCTTAAAAATTATATCATGATATACAAGTGTTTAGGCAAGCATTTAAAAATTATCTCACTCACTCCCACTTGGTAGAAGAGTTTTATGACATTGTAAGTTCTCTTCTTCTTCATCTTCTTCTTTATCACTACGGCCCTTTCAGTGTAGCCTTGGCTTCTCTTGTGATCGATGCTCATTCTTCCCTATTGTGTGCTTTCCTTCTGGAGCCTCTTACGCCCATCTGTTTAAGATCAGACTCAATGTCTTCGATCCACTGGAGTTTCGGTCTTTATTTCTTTAATTTGCCAGGAGGTTTACTATTGATGATCATCTTACATCCTCTATCACCACTCATTCGGTGTATATGTCCAAGCCATTCTGTCCTTCTTGCCTTTGTCACAGCTACAGTATCTGAGCTTTTGAACAGCTTCTCCAGATCGATATTCATTCTAATTCTCCATAGGCCATTGTAACATATTGGACCAAAAATCTGGCTTAGAACATTCTTAGTAGTTGGAGTAATATTGAAATGAGGGGCTTATGAGGGCTGTGGCTTATGTGGGTGAGCACGGGTGTTGGCCTATAGAGGCTGAAACGTGTTTATAGAAGTACAAGTAAATGTGTTGGTGTAGTTGCTTGCAAGTGCCTGTTTTGAAACTTTGTGATGGAAGAGTGTCTCTCATTCTATCTTTATTTAGTAAGGATTTATAATTAACTGTCTCAGGGTATGGAATACAATAGCATAGAAAAGAACAACCATGGGATAGTGTGTTTACTTTATGAAGATTAAACATATGATTAGCAGATTATTTTGTTTTCAGTAGGCATTACAGGAGATTCTGTGCCAGTCATCTTATTTGTTTATTTTTTGTACATGTATCTTCCTTATTTTAGACTCTGTAGCAATGAAAGAAAGGTGGTGTGGAAACGTGTTGTCAGAGAAATACACCCCATTTATGAAGTAGAGCACATACGAAAGCACCTGGCATTTAAAAAGGTAGAGAGATAATTTACAATATTCTTAGTATAAACGCATGTAATAAATGTTGTTATATGCAGTTAGTTTTCAGATAACTTCACATTTGATCTAAATGTAATATTCCTGTGCCCTGTCTCATAGACAAATACACTGATGAAGTTAAATTTCTTTAAAGATGTCAGCGAAAGTAAAACTAAGGCAGAAGCTTGCAGAGAAAGAAGAGGAGATACATATCAGGGAACATGACCTTGAACAGGCTCATATGAAATTGAAGGTTTTGAGTGAGTATTTTCAGTATTGGAAAATTAAATATATTGTTTGCTAATAACATAGAATATTTACCATCCTGCATGATGATCAAATACTTTTTGCTGGTAGTATAGTGTATTTCAAGTCATATGTTCTTTGTTTGTTTTTTATTTATTGCTTATAATAACTTTTGCAAGTATTTCGTGTGTGATGTTTTACTGTTAGTGATAGCTCATTTAGTAGCGTGCTATCTTATGGTGCAGCTGACCCACATTCCATAAATTGTGTATGCAGGAAGCAGTGTGTTCCTCCAGAATGTTGGTAATCACCTACAAAGCTACATGGCGTCACAGCCCGCAATACCACAGTCGGAGCTTTGAATACTTCCTTCTTCATTCTTTGACATTTTCACTGATTTCACTCTTGGAAGATTTTCCGGTTCACTGTACTTCATAGTGTGTTATTCTTTCCTGTTTGTTGCAGATTGTCAAATGCAAGCAATAAAACAGAGAATGAAAGATCTAGGTATGAAGACTTTAATACTGCGTTTCAAAAAGCATGAACTGGAAAACGAGGCGACAAGGCTTGAAGAGTTGTGTCAAGTTGCAAATTTCTTTCGACAGCCAGTAGAGAGTGGCTGTGGTGATCCGCATTCATCTTGTACAAAGCATGTAGAGACTGCTTGTGAAGTAAGTGATGCTCAGATTTTAGGAGTTGGTGTTGTGGATTAAATTAGGCACCCATTTTGTATTTATGATGAATGGAACTGTGGATATTTTGTACACATTTGCATCTTTCTAATCTGAACAGTCTAAATTTCTTATTCAGTCTCTGATTATACATCTATATTACATTCCATGGATCTATATGTTAGTCAGATGACAGTAGGATGTGGAATACATCATAACAATACAATACATATTATAAGTACAATTGATACTGTTGCAAAGGGGTTTGTAATTTAGATATAAAAATATGTCATCTATGTGTTGTGTGTAACAATTAGGAACCAAAATATTTATATCTTTGTATTTGCATAACAAGAAAATTTTGATTCCTTTTGAATAATTTGTCAGCTTCACATTATAGTATGACTTCTGCTGCTAGAGGATAAACTAAATGTTCTTTGTTGAAGGTTATCCGTGTTGGCAGACATTGTAGTTGCCATGTGCAGCTGAGAGAATGTTAGGACAAGAATTCGCATGAGAATTTTTGATTCAGAAAGTTGTTCCAACGGATTTTGATACAATGTAATATTGGCACTTTTATTGGTTCTGCAGGATTTCTAATGCACTTGAAGATCAAAATTGATTTTTTAAGAATTTTTAATCCCATTTTCATCAGAACAAGAAGCAGTTCAAATAATATTCATAGATTTTATTATGTAGAGCACCTTGGTTTTTCTGTATATGCTTTGCTTCATTATACCAACGATGGATAAAGTTATAAACAATTATTATACATGTTGTATCACACTATTGTCTGAAACCTCTAAATAAAGGTAAATTGGTTTCTTTTACAGAATGCAATTTATGAATGTAAGGCACAAATTCTTGAACTTCACAAACTATATAAGATGAAAGATGTGAATATGCAGATATTGCACTCGAAAAAAGAATCCGTGATGGAATTTGTGCATTATCGGATGAAGGATTTTAGCATTCTGAACGTTTGGCGTACATTATTGAACTCCGTAGATCAGCTGAATAAAGAGTTACATAATCTAACTCAGAGTAATGTAAGGATGGAGTCTGAACATATGCAGTAAGTGAAATATAAATATTATGATTGTGTTTGTATCATTTTTAACAGAGATAGTAAATTTATTGATTGGTTAACACAAACATCATTTCTCTTAAATAACAGAAACAAACTTCTGTGTATGACCACAACTGTTTTTACAGCAGTGAAACTTCACCCACTTCAAAGTTTACTGTTTGATAGAGGGACATAATGACGTTGAATTTTACTGTTCGGTACGAGTTCCACTTACAGGCTCTGTTCTTATTACAAGAATGTGGACTTTGGTGGCTTTGTCACTTCTCAGCTAGGTTTTTTAATTGGACACGTGAACCCACGCGAAACAGTAACTACTGGAGGACATTCACACAAGGTTCCACTCCATGATGTGAAAGTTGCTCTTTGTATAAGGCATATACTCCATTCATTTCACAGGCTGCTGACAGATGAAGGTCTGATCAATCCAGATATACAATTGTGTTCTGTTTGCAGACTTTACAGAGATAGAGATAATGTGTTCCATTAAATTACTGCAAGATGATTAGCTATTAGAATATTGCTATAGAAGTATTTTGAGCCATGTTTACTCTTAAGAATGCTTGTTTTCTCATAGTTTTGTAACTGTGTTTATTCTTTGACAGCGCTGTGAAGGAATGTATTGACTCAGAAATGAAGAAATTTATGAAATCGTATGTGGAGTTATTTGCAGCTTACCATAGTCTGCAGCACAAGATGAAGCAGTGTAGCAGTGACTGTGACATCCTTTTTGACAGGACTGTAGAAATGTTACAGGTAGCTACAAATTGCAGTTATATGAAAATGTTCCAGTACTCTTGTGTATGCATTATCTGCAAATTTTCCTTAATATTTATCTTCAGGCTAATAAAGAAGAGTTTCAGAAATGCTTCCATTGGTTGCGAAATTCCTTCATTGTCATGGAGAGTAATTTGATGGGGATGTATGTAAAATTGGTCACTTGATGGAAGTTTATTTATAAATTTTGTTTACCACTTTACGCACCATTGAAACTCACTGTACTGATAGAAACAGCTGGGAAACAAGAATTTTCTCTTCATCGCCATGTACGTACCAGCTGTGGGCTTTCCCAGCTTCCTGGCCGGTTTGTACTAGTGTTAAAATGGTTAAGTGCAAAACTGGCCACTTGCTGCTTTCATTACTGCTTCCTATTCCTTCAAAACTTGGTGCTTAGGCACTAAGATGGTTGCATATTTTACCTGTATACCTAGTTTCTTGGCGAACACAAAAGGAAGTTATTGAAAATGACTTGTACGAGGCGCGTCCCAAAAGTAAGTTTCCCACTCGTCCCACAGCTAGCAAACCTTATATTGAGCGAAGCGACTGTGCGTACGTGATAGAGCAATGACGTAGCATGGCGCATGCACTAAAGGCACTTCCCGCGTTCTCACAGTAGCATCGTTGCAGCTGTTGAAGATGGAGGTTCTTATTCCAGCTCCCGCCGACTGTGAAGTGCGGTCAGTGATAACGCTAGGCCGCACACGGCTCGACGGACAGCAAGTCTCCTGCAGGAGTTCAGCTGGGAGGTGTTTAATCATTCACCCTACAGCCCGGACCTCGCTCCCAGTGATTTCCATCTTTTCCTACACCTCAAGAAATTCCTGTCCGGTCAGCGTCAGCGTCAGCGTTTTGAGAATGAAAGAGAGGCGGAGATGGTTGTCACACAGTGGTTCCAATCCCAGGCGGCAGACTTCTACGACCCAGGTATTCAAAAGTTGGTCCCACGGTATGACCAATGTCTCAATTCCGGTGGCGAATATGTTGAAAAATAGCTGGACACTTGCTGTATCTGTTGCAATAAATATTTCCATGAAATTGTGTTTTGTTTCTGTAAACGGCCCCAGGGAAACTTACTTTTGGGACGCGCCTCGTACTTTTAAATCTTTTTGGTAGAATTAATACTATATTATTTGTGTTCACATTTTCAGGAGGAGTGGCGTGGATATAAATTTGGTGACGTGTTTCAAGAATGTGGCAGGATCAGACAATGGTTGGAACTTCAAAGTAAATTTACAGAATTTGGTATCATTAACGAAGTTTTACAGAATGAGATTAAAAATCTGAAAGTAAACACATATTCAACAGACCTTGACATTCTGAATTTGCAAGAAGAGGAAATTAAGAGACTTGGCAATGAGAATGTAAGTATTGTTGATTTCGTCTGCTTACTAGTGATTGTTTGAAATTGATGTGTAGAAGTGTTATAAATAGGGCCAATTATATCCAGAGGCTGTGTTTGCTATTTGGCAGAATGTGTAGCAGTGACAGCCAAAGAGTTGCATGTGCCGTGATTATGCATTTTTGTTTCTGCTACCCAAATTTATTGCTTAGAAAAATATTGTATCCAGTTTGCCCAGTGACTTTTCACTTTCTAAAAATTTCTCAGTGGTGTCTAAATTTTTTTAAAGTGTAAATATGTGGGGAAGAAACTTGTCTGCTTGTTTCTGTTCCATGACAGTTCACCTACAACCATTTTACCTGTGTGTCATTTCATCTATACCAACTTTGTCTACATTAACTTGTCTGCTGTGGTTTCAACTGTGAGACATTTTACCAATGTTTTGTTTATCCTACCACATTTTAATCTACTCCATTTCACATCACATGTGCATTGATTTTAACAAGTCTTATGCAATGTTGAGGCAAGGGTACAGTCTCAGTGACATGAAATATTCCTTTCTTGATAGTTCAGTAGGTAATGTACGGATATCATTAGGATTTTGGATGAGAAATATACCAGAAGATTGTAGTTGTCACTTTTGTTATGGAAGGTATTAATCAACAGATGGACAGACAGTGATGGTTTGAGCTATTTCTGATTCTGTTTGGTTAGGATAATGAATCTAAAGGACAGCTACTGTTTAAAGAAAGGTGTACTACGATGTTTTACAGGAAACGCTGCGAGCAGATCTTAGGACTAACTCTTTGTGGCTTACAAAGTCACATGCGGGCCAAATTGAAACTGCAGAGAAACTGAAGCAGGAAATTACAAAGCTGTCTCAGACGTGTGCTTTGGATAAGTGTGGCATGACAACTCTGGATGCATCAGTAAAAGGGCTTCGAGGTGCATTCCAGCATGAGCTGAAGGAATTCATGGCACTCCCAATACATTTGCTGGATAATATCGCTCTTCCCTCGTAAGTGTGGATGTTGGTTTCTATTGCACTTTCTTCTTTGCTACCAAGGAAAATTGCATGTGCGTTGGTGTCCGTCAAACAGTCCTTTCATTGATTTCATGTCTTGATGAATGCTTATTGTAGGATATATACATAGCAAAGTGCATTGTATTCGAGTTTCTACATGAGTACAGTTCTCCTAAATAAATGGGACCAAGAACATATGGGCAGGGAACACAGGATTGGGAAGGTGTGCTCCGCCGACTGCTTTTCCCGTTGTGACAATATTCCCAATAATTACATTGTTGTGCAACAGTGTTCCAACAGACCGTGGAATTTGTTCATCAGCTGATGATTCTTAACTTTTGAAGATGGACCGCTCTGTGGAGTTTGTTAATTTGTTAATCAGCTGAGCGATCTGCTGTGTAGAGTCAGTTTCTTTTTTGAAGCACTCGGCTTACTGTACATTTTTTACTATCAGCCCTTGCTTGTTATTTACAGATTCTATGCTAGTATTGGTGTGAAATTCTGAGTCCAGTATACTAATTTTGCTTTGGCATTTAAAGATTTGTGGTAGTCATATATTTTGTTGAAATTGGAAATTCACTTAGTGATTTTTGTTTTCTGGTCAGAGGTTCTGTGTTACCTAGTAATCAGCAGATCCTCAAATACCATAATAACCTCATAAACGTGGATCAACTCCATGGACTGACTGGTATCTTGACCGCACTGGAAGGCGCTCCTTCTGCTGCGCCTCATGGCATCACACTTCAGCTACTGGAGAAGACGTTGTACCTCAGCTTCCTGAACACAACAGAAATGGATAGCAATGAGTTGAACTCTTCGTTGGGTTAGTATGTTTAACCATTTAATGAATATGCGAGTACATGGCAATTTGATAACTTTGTTAATCTCTTCTGTTATTCAGTGAAAGAAGTTCTTGTGACTATTGTGGCAGAAAGAAAAATTGGGTTCTTTCTATTGAGGAAGTTTGTGAAATAGTGATATATAATGGGTTCTCTGAAATAGATTAAAACCTTTTTAGAATCTGTACTCTGTTCTGATGTATTTTCTCAAGTCTTACTGAGATCCGTCTTCTGGGTTATTGCGCTGTGTAGTCTGGTCGATGTTAACCAACGTTTCAGAGGTCATACTGCCTCCGTCATCAGGGCAATGAATATGACCTCTGAAACGTTGGTTAACATCGACCAGACTACACAGCGCAATAACCCAGAAGACGGATATCTTCATACTCACTGCTGTGAGAACCTCAAGTCTTACGAATGCTGATTTGTTGGCTGAAGTAAAATTTATAAATGTGTTGAGACTGTAAATCTGGAATACAGCCTGTTTGGAAGGTTCTGTCATGCAAAAGAAACATGATGGTCAAGCCTCTTAATGAAAATGCATTGGGTTGGTATAATGGGTTCTCTGAAATAGATTAAAACCTTTTTAGAATCTGTACTCTGTTCTGATGTATTTTCTCAAGTCTTACTGATTTATGGGTGACTGAAATGAAACTTTCTGGCTTGGAATTCTTGGTACATCTACAATAAATGTGGCAAACAGTGTTTTCTGGGCATGGTCATAATGAAACTTGTATAGTGAGGTGTTTTCCTTTGAAGTTAAAGTATGGCATCAGTCCACAAATTTTTCAGGAGTTTCGTCTTTGTGTTGGTTTGTTGTACGTAACTGTGTAAAACTGTACTGCAGAGACTGCTTATTTGTGATTCATTATTTAAGTATTGTCTGAAAGTTGTTTGTGAGGTGTCAGGTGTGTGTGAAATTTGAGACAGACTGAAAACATTTGCTGCTTCCATAAGTTTCAAAATGGTTGTTTGAAATTTGTTGGTATCATTCCATTTTTCCAACTTCAGACACCTGTATAGAGCCAAGAAATTACTGCATTGTGCTGGACCATTTTGATATAAAGGAAACTGATGTTAGGTTTTTGGAAGCCATGGGATGTCCAGAAGGTCACCGCGCACGTCGTCTGTTTCCGTCTACAGGCTTGCATGTTGTCGTTCTACTTGTTCCTCTGAAAGTTGCTCTTGCTGGGTTGTGAAGAGAGGAACCTGATAATTGGAAATTTCTCATTACAGCTGTCTTGGACATTTCTTCCAAGGAGAATGCAGCTACCACCGCAGTAACTGAGGTCATGAAAGTAGCAGAAAAGTCCATTGAGGAATGCAAGATTGTTGCAGAGAGAGCAAAGGCTAACTACAGAACCTGGTAATTGTTGGTCCACTTATTTTATTATTTTTGTGACATCACAGGCAAGCACTGAAATGAAGAACACGATAAAATACAGTTAAAACATAAAGGAACGAGAAGAATTATTTTTATTTTAAAAGCTGACTAGTGGCAGGAACAATCTTTGTTTAACAATAATAATATAAATACAGACTGCGGAATACAATAAAAAATGCAGACTAAACTAAGTGCATGTAATTAACCTAAACACTTTCATCAAGCAGGTGTCCTTGAAGGAGAAATGTTTTTGCCAAAAGTCTCTGAAAATCTGCATATCATTTGCAACAGTGACATGCCTGGCTGAAGGACTACGTCTTCATGCACTGCTTGTGCTGAAAGCATAAAATTCTCTTATTTGCCTTCTGGGAACACAAATACCATCAGTGGTATAGCAGCTTATTTTTACTTTGAGAATGTTAATAAGAAATAAATCATTGAGATGTCACCACCGTCTGGAATAAAGTGTTCTGAAATTTAAATTACTTAAAATTATTAATAATAATAATCATATACTCTGACAGACATTAATAATAATAATAACAACAAACCACTAATAATAAATATAAAAATGTATTTATTCTTATCTTTACTAGAGGTGGAAAGAGAGCAATTACTTGGTACATAATCTGACATGTTTATGTCCTGAAGAAACTTATATATCCCAAGAGTTTTGTTCTCTTGGGATGAACAAGTCCTACCAGTTTAAAAAAAAATGATTTCACGTGTTTGAACATGTGCCAAATTATGATTTTTCTTCTGCAAGAGGAAAACTTTATTATTGTTGGTTGAATTTCCCCAAAATGTTACGCCTTATGACCCAGTTGCAGTTGGCTCTTCTGAATGGTCACCGAGAGATGTGGAAAAACAGCTGTCGTGCTTTCCTTTCACTGCATTTTATCTTTCTTTCTTTGCATAATTATTTTGCTACCCACAATTTATTCCTGAAACACAAATTTCGCTATATAAGGCCTTCAGTAATTTATGGTAATTGTAGTAGCAAGAAGTGCAAACGATGCTATGGTGAGGTCTGGTGGAGTCCGTGTTTGACGAGAATCTCAAGTCCAGAGACTGCGGGAATTTGATTTCAGTGACCATAACTATGTTTTCACATTTGATTTGAGCAGTTTATTTCAGCTGTGTACACCATTTCCTTATCAGACTAAAGCGAGAAGCTTACCTTCTTTGTTGACCCACCTTATACCAGTAGATGGTTTTTCTGGCCTTAACATAAACCAAGACATCACCGAAATGTCATGTGTTTGGGGATGGATACAAGACGTGTCTCGTTGCATGTCGTCGTCTTGCCACTGTCTTCAGGCAAAATTTTTAGGCTGTTGTAACATAATCTTTAAATCATAAGGTGTCAGACTATTCATTGCAGATTACTGTACAAATAAAATTTGTGTGATAAGCCCACGATTATCTTTGTTCATTGTCTATGAAGCTCTAGTTTCCAGTTTGTCAATAACATGGTTCCAAAGTTACAGTCAGACGACTGAAGTTGGACAGTAGTTTAACGCAGGATGAAGATACTATCCCTTCCCAACTCAGTCATGATCATCTAAGTGTCCACTTTCCAACAGGTTTTCCTATTAAAATTCTATATGCAGTCATTTTCCCTGCTAAAGCTATGTGCCAACCCAGTATAGCGTAAGTAGAACAGCGGAAATCATTAAGTCCATTATTTTGCAATATTTACTGCTCGGCACGTACTCAGTCATTTACATCACGATTTCTTTTGCATTAATTATGACAGTGTATTGTGTTTTTATTTATTTATTTTTTTATGCTAGGCTTGAACATCCTCTGCGACATGCTGTACCTGAAAGTCTGCAAATTGATGAGAAAAATTTCCAACAGTGGCAGCGTGAATATGACAGTTTGCTTGCAAGTTTGATTGACTTGGAAAGTGAAGAGGAAGTCTCATACATGGTGTAACAGTGGGGATGCACCATTATAAAACTGTGCTGTTAACGTTGATTTTGTAAACTTTTTATAAGGTGAGTTCAGGACTCATTCAGAGCTTATAAAATAGTACTCTTTCTTTTTGTAGATGTGCATAACTAGACACTAGCCGAGTGGATTATCACGGTTCTCATAAAAATAATGTTAATCCTTAACCACTTCCATGACACAATATTTGTGCTATAAAATGAGACATTAGGATTGTATTGGCTAGTTAGGGCTGTAATTTTATTGAGAAAGTGCAACATTAATTGAAGAACACTTTGTTTAATATTTAAGGGTTTAAAGAATGATTCAAACAAAATTTATGAACCTGAATGACACATTATGTTATATACAACTTTTTTATGTGAGGAGACTTTTTTAAGAAAATATTCATAATTTTTCACATTTAACTTTATGTTAACAATATGCACATGTTAAATGTGAATTAACAGGGGTTCAAACGGCGTTGAAAACGAGGTACGACAAACTAATAATCCCTGTAAAACTTAGTGATTTTTATTTTCTCTGAAGCATTTATAGAGGACTGGGTCATGGTGGTGGTCTATATTGTCTTCTCTCTCTCTCTCTCTCCCCCCCCCACAATATCCTGACACTGGAAGTTCCTTTCATCTTAGCTAGTTTCTGCCTAACTTCTTCACGCCAAGAATCTTTGGTTGTATTAACTACAGATATGCTGCAGTATCTGTCACATTCAGATTATACTCTAGATATTTCATTCGGTGTGAAGAACAAGGTTGGAAAGGTGTTCTTTATGCCACTTCTGGTGAGTGTGATGTCAAATTGGTTGCTGGCAGTTGATGGCACAGATAGTTTAAGTAGCCACTCATAGGTGGCAGCACAATCAACTGAATTGTGTGGCTGCTGATAGATGGCAGTTGATAAATGATGGACAATGACTTCAATCTGCCTCACAGCATGATTTTGGCAGATGGACAGAATGCACCCATAAGGCATTCTTTATTTATAATAGAGTGTAAATATTGTAACAAGGTTTTTTGTTTTGTGGTAGGAATTTTATGCTTTGAGCCTAGTTAAAACAATAATATTTTCTTTTTAACTTAAAATTAACGAGATTTTGCTTTATTCTCACACCATAACAAAAGAAGGGTCAAATTCTTTCCATTCTTTAGAAGTGTTACAGTAGTTTTTAGCGATGAGTCTATTAGCCATGTGAAAAGAATTGAAAATAGAACTGAGATGGAAGAGTGAAAGTGAAGAACCTGGAATGGGTGACAGCCTAATTCTTGATCAAGAAGATGGTGTTGATGATCTGCTTGCAGATGTAATCTGAATATTAATGTTCATCACACTGTAAGTTGAAAAACGTAATCACTTGTGTATGCAAGTTAATGACAAGTTACTGTTATTACCTAATAAGATTACAAATTTGTGTAAGCAAGAATGTGTTTTTTATTGTTTGAAATTAAACAGCAACAGTGAGCCTGCCATCTTTGCAGCTGTTGTTTCTGAACGGATCTTGAAAGTCAGCATTTTATTAGTTTTTATAAATTAACTTATTGTCATCTATTTTCGGATGGTGTAATCCTTTGAGAGCCATCTGAGGCATTTAACAAACAAACAAAAAAATTATAGAAATCTCCAACCACTGGACTAAATATGTTCATAGAAAATTGGAGTTATTCATATCTCACATTTGATGCACTCGTATTCACAAGTAATTGTGTCCGTCTCGTCTCACGGCGATATAAGTGTCCTTTCCACCACTAGTTCACCGTTGTCTTAAACACTGACTGCTCTATCCAGAAGCTGGGGATTCCTTCATTGTTAACTTGTATACATCGCTTTACCTAACCTGAGCTGAAAGTCCTTATAAAGCAATTTTCCACCCAAAGGCACTCTTGCCAAAAACATGTCCATGCTCATGAGGCACAGTGCCTTGCCGTTCATAAGGAATCTGTCGATGGGAACTTGAGGAAGTTGGTGGAGTGTTGCCATGTCTCTCAGCCATCTCGCTACATCATCGCGTGACCAGGAACGAGGATCTGAAACAAAATAGTTACACAAGTGAACCTAGGCCTTTTATTACTCGGCTCTTAATCTTGAATTCCCTCCTACGATGAATGTACGGCATCACTACCTAAAACATTCCAGTCCATTTATTCAGTGAAAGCAAAATGTAACTAGTGATTAGAATCTAATCGCTCCCCTGCCACTTGTACCACGAGATTGGGAATTCTTCCTTTGCGCGCGGATCTAAATATGCACGTACAATGTCTTAATAAAACTTAATGTTACTTACTGAAATCATACATAAACAGTGAATTTTCACGTCACCTTTGATAGAACGCATTCTTTCGTTTCTGTACCACAGGCCAAGCAGCGCGGACAACACGGTCAGAATTGCTTCCTATTGATAATTTGGGTGGGACAGACTCGATTAACGAAGCTACAGAAGCAATGCTTCCGTTGGTTCCGTGCGTGACGCCAACAAGTATCCCGTAATTCGGTTTATGTGCTTCGTTCTTATGAGGTTTGAAGTAACCAAACCCTGGGAATTTGATTAAAATTGTATAGCCTACTTCTCTCTTGCCGAATCAAAAGTTTTTGTTTATATGAAACTGACAAAAGAGGGATTTCTCCGATATTACTGCAATGTGCAGGCACATTCAAATGAAGCTACAAAAATGTGCTTGTTGGCAGCATCGTGTCCGATTGTAGTTCTCTTGCGCGTAAAACTTAACTGCTCTCGTGAATGTGGTCATAAATTGATATTTTCATTGCTTCAGAAGGAATCTGTTGATTTGTGTACCTAAGAAGGCTGTGTCCTGCCACTTGATTGGTGTAGTTCAGTGGGAATAAGTTTAAATCCCCCAATAACAAGTACAACTTCATTAAAGCTGGGTTCTCTGACAATAGTTTGGCTGTAGCTGCGTTCGCATTTTTATCTTTTTTTAAAAAAATATCGGTGTTCGTACGTGTTTGTCATCTGTTTCAATAATTACGCCACATAGTTCTTTATAGAGATAATTATTGCCAAGCAATTGCAGTGTTGTAAAATAAAGTCGGTAAAGAAAGTCTGCAATTTAAAATACTGAAAATGCAAGATAATGTGTGATTGCTTTTCTTGTAGGGTGGGATAATGCGTTGTAGATAATGTATAATTTAGGAGAGATGTGGGGTGGGGGCTCAAGTTGTCTCTGGCTCACCACAAATGTTACTTCACAACATGGTGGTCAATTGCATGGATGTTCAGTGGCTTACTTAAGTAATTCTTCTGTCTGTGTGCAGCACTACAGCAATCTGCAAGCAGATCACCCACCATTGCTTTTCATTCGAGGTTCAAAACCATTCATAAATTCGTAAGTAACATGTTTCTTGACTTTACCCCGATGTTTTAGGGGCTTTAAGGCACGCGACCAGCTGGTTCGAAGCCTCTTGGGTTTTGCGAAACAAATAGAACACCCACAAAGTACTTTTTAATTTGCTCAGAGGATACCATTACCGGGCACGGATGGGCCGTGATTACCTTGCGTTCTGGTACGTGATGAAGGTCTTTGAATTATCAAACGTCTGCTTTGTTCTTACGCAGGACTGGAAGAGGAAAATGTTCAATGACTGACTGAATAGAGACACGAGATGCTGACTGATAATTTCTCACCTTCGCCAACAAGTGACGAATTTTTTAGAGACCTCTGAATGTTTCTATTAACTTTGATAATACTGTAGTAAAAAGTGGACCTCAGACATTGGTCGGCCTGGAATTTGATCAAGTTATCAGAATTATGCGGTATACGTTTCTTCTTATTCAGTTTTATGGTGGTTTTTACAATTCAACGATCTGAAAGCGAGGTTTACTGCAATAACTTTCCAGCTTAAATAATGTCGCTCTTATGCCAGCATAAGGTTCTTTACTAGTATATGTGCTTCGTTACATGCTCTCCTTTAAATTTCGTTTTTGATTTTCCATTCGTAATCCAGCATCCCACTTCATTGTAGCAATGCGTGAAAATCATTAACGACTAAAATTGTTTTTATCTTCGCTTTCAGAATGTGTTCACGTTTGTCATGTATGCCCTATCGATACTTATTAACCTCGCTTTTAATTGCCACGTACATTGGCGTTATTTTGTTGTATGGACTTCCGTCTCATGTAACAACCGCTTCCGTTCGACGTCATCAGTGCGTCACGACCTATGCTCTGACGTCACGCGGCAATCCACTGACGTCAGAACTCTACCGCCATATTGATCTGTAAATACAGATAATAGGATTTAAACGTGTGTAATATTTCGGAAACACTGCTATGTTGTTGCGAAAGGACGGAAAATGAAAATTAATTTTATTGATAGACAAGACGAGGGGAGGGGCAGACGAAGGCATGCAGCACTTCTGACTGAATCGTGTCCGCGCGTGTCGGATTTACAAGTTTTCCGTTTCCAGTTCCTGTGAACCCCAGGTTGTTTGTTTCGAAGGAAAATTGTGTTCAAGGAACTAATTGTAGAGTTCTCTCGTGTCGTATAAAACTTTTACTTAATACATGTTTTCAATACGGCACTCTTAATCGGCGTAAACAAATTTGTTAGCGGTGGATCTGGAAAAAGCCATATTTCTTGGATACGCTCTAATTGACATTGACATTAAGATTAGTGCTTACAATTTGCATGACTCCGTGGTCTTATTTTTCGATTTATGCCTGTAGATACACTCCGATGTAGAAGTGATTAGCAAACTTGTAGCCTGTGAGTTGTGTGGACTTTTGTCACAAGAGCAAATGAAAGTACGTACGGCCGCTTTGACGTCAGCGCGAGCTAGTAGGCAGTGTGCCCTACAGTCTCGCGTGGCTGGTTGTCTACCTATGTAGGCGCTATTGTCTATTACTGCGTCAGGTAAGGGAGCGAAGTTATGAACTCCTGGAATTCATGTACGAGAACGTAAATGACAGGTTCGGAACAAAAATGGAGTCAATGAAGTTGTTTTTTTTCATGTGGCCGTTACTTTTGGCAGTTGTTGAGATAAAATTAGCTGTACTGAGACAATTAAAATGAATCCTTTTCTGAACATCTAATGCTATTCTGGTTGAGATAAAATTAGCTGTACTGAGACCAAAAACAATTGCTCTCGCCTTTTGTCAAGTATTCGCAAAGAGAGAACAATTAAAATGAATCCGTTTCTGAACATCTAATGCTATTCTATTGCTAATAATGTGTACGAAAGTACTAAAAGATATAAAAAATAATAAGCAGAAGACGTGTGTTAAAGGTGATTATAAAAAATAATAAGCAGAAGACGTGTTAAAGGTGATTTTGGCGCCAAAGGAAATTGAATGAACTTGCCGCTCGAATTTCCGCTGTTGAACACAGCAGCAGTCTGTACAGTGAATGGCAAAGAATTGTTACAAGATTCCGCCGTTATGCAGGGAGTAATATCAGCAAATGCGACGCGAATAGATTAGAAAAGATTGTACTAGATCAAATACAAATCGTAGGTTGAAATATTTCGTACCAATAGATGGCGGAATCACGGAACCATCGAATATTTGCTTATCAGGACATGAAATCCCACTCCAGTGCTTCAGACAAATTATGTCGTAATTGAAAACTGAATCCAGTTGCGTGCCGTCGTGCGCGAACTTGTCTAACTTGCGAGATTTAATTATGGAGATTTGTTTCATCCAGTGATCTCCCTGTTTGTCCACGCACCGAATATTACGTAACCCTCATTACTGCATCAATGTTTCAATGTCAACGTTAGAAATATTTCATTTCCGAATGTACCGAGATAACTAGAATGTTTCGCAAGGTATTCTGTTCTGATCGAAAAGCTTGCAAAAATGTTTGTATACAAGGCACGCAGTGCCACTTTCTACCTGCAGTGAGCGTTCGGTCCGTGAACTTCAGCTGATAAAATTCAGTAGCAAGCTTCTTAATACCAAATCTCGGTTCTCCACAGTTTATAGTTAAGTAGCAATTTAAAATATCCCATGACAGGTAAGTTACCGGTGTAAAAGTTAAAATACTTTTAAAAAAAAATCTAGAGTTTAAACCTAAGCCAGCAAAATTTACACTTTCGTCTATATTCCTTTAAGGTACATAATTATGTTATACTATCGTCCATATATGTACAAAAGTTTCTATTTCAGAGGCTTCGAAACTCTAAAATTCCATCACCTAACAATACTTTTTTTAAAAAAAGAATACGTAAGTCGTCACTGCCTCAAATTTCAGCAACTGTTTAAGCGATTGGTTAGGTTAGCAACGGACCATTGTGACGTTTCATTATCTCTCCAAACTCAATGGATCTTCCTTGAATCTAAATAATTCTGATCTGAAGTAAACTTCTTCGGAATTCTATGTCTGTTTCTGGTGCGACGGAATCCATTGCTTGTTACCTTCACAGCAAGAGCGTGTCCTCAGTCTTCAACAGCTTCTGGAATAGAACCTCGGACAGTAAGTAGATCCTTGGTCTACTGGCGGAAAGTTATCGTGAGATAATATTTTATTTATTCTCTCTTGTTGTGTGAGATCGTCTTTGGCTCTCCGTTTGGCAAAATCCATGTAGTATGTCCTTAACTTTATTCAGAATTATACACGCAAATGATATGACGGTAAGATCCACAGATGACGCATTTATAAAATCCACTGCTTTATTGATTGTTGAATCTTGTATTTGCTGTTGTGTAAAAGGTGCATTAATGCTATCTGCAGTCGAATTAATTACCTCCTCCAAATCTTATTTTATTTAAGTGTTCTGTAAAATATCTAGAAATAAGTTTTAAGCGCTTCATATATTTTAATTAATGCCTCAACACACTGGAATCGATGTGCTTTTCTTTGTATGTGGATCTTTTAATACCGCCATAAAAGGCTAAATTCTTCGTGAACTGAACAAATATTTTTCCTTCTTAACGCAGCCCTGGTCTAGCGGTTAGCACGCTGGCCTTGTAATCCTGGGGTCTCGGGTTCGATTCCCGGCGGTGCCCGAATTTATAACTTGTGTTGGGCAAGGCCGTGGTCTAGGCAACACGGAGTTTTCCTCCGGGGGCTTCCCCGGTTTCTCCGTGGCATCCCAACAATTACTCCATTCACACAGAAGAAGGCAATGGCAAACCACTTCTAGATCATCTGCCAAGAACGTATATGAACAGGTCTCAGTCCGAGAAAAGGATGGAAGGATCCTGTTCATATGGACCTGTCGTCAGACAGAACACTACAAATAAATAATAAAAATAAATAAACGACACTAAATAAATAATAAAAATAAATAAACACATCCATGATCTCGATGTGTTCTCAGTCAGCGCCTTGGTTAGACCTTTCCTTGGCCTGATTTTACCTGGTTTTACCATGACCTGTAGCGCTCAAGGCTGCCAACACGTTTTTTCGCAAATTCCCTCCGGAACAATGATGACACTTCTATCAGTGTAAATATGCTGCCTTTGCTTTGGAATAACATCTTGACATTCTTTTACGATTCTGTGATCGCCATCTAGACGGGACTGAAAATCTACCGAGTTCACTTCACAACGTGATTTAAATTTAGAGAAAATTAATGGCTTAACAACTGAATGCATGGGAATGAAAATGCACTTTAGGGAAGTGAGAAAATTGTTTATATTTTTTCAGAGATTTAAAAAGCCAAGTTACGCTGCTTCCTTCCTCATGGCGTGTTTCTGTTCACAGTCTGAACTACCTAATTTTTGTCTCTGACATGTGCCCTTTTCACACTTTATTTAAACGTAAGCTGTTTAGAGCAGTGGTATTCAACCTAGGGTACGCGAAGACATCTTAGGGGGTACGTGAAATTTTAAAAAAATAATATTATTTTATGATAAACACTAAATAATCAGTAATATAATTTATTTAATTTATTTTAGATGTAGATTATATACTA